AGGGGGTGGGGTTTGGGAAGGTGCGGGGGGATTGTGTACCAATGAGGGAGTTTTTCTTTTGCTTTTCAAGGAGAGGAGCTAACGGAGGGGGGGGGCATTGTGCGGGGAGAAGGGTGCAACAATGAATGAATGGAATTCCAAAATCTCTGTAGATGTTCATTGAAATGAAAAATAAACAAACTAATAAAAAAAATTAGATCATGGACACCTGGGCTTATGCTAAGATTTGGAACCCTTAATTCTCTGTGATTTTTCTACACCACCAGACAGTCCTCAGCACACATCACATGTATTTAGCCTGGAAGCCAAGACCAGCAGACACAGTCATGGATATCCATCCTCTTCTGTGTGGCAATCTGTCAGATATTACAATTTATTCCCATATTCTGACAATAATTTCATATTATTATTAAATTTGGGAGTTTTAGAAGACCCTTTTAAGTTTAAATTGTAATTTAAGTTTAAATTGTACTTCAGAGAACACATATTAGTAATGGTTGTGGGCACATTTTCATTTTGCACAGAAAGGTACCATTGACATTCTTATGAATGTTTCAAATATAACATTATGTTAGTGTTCTGAACTCTTTTTATGCTACAGAAGTCTGTGTGTGTGTGTGTGTGTGTCTGTATCTGTGTGTGTTTGTCTCTCACCATAACTACAGAGAAAGGTAGTATCTATTTCTTTTTTCTGGACTTTTTTGTCTAAGTTATGAAGATATGCATCTTAAAGGTTGAACTTTGGAATTTATAAGTTCAGCTCAACTCAACTCGTTGTTGAGTCGTGACTGACTCATAGCTGTCCCTCCAGTGGGTTCTCAGAGACTGTAAGTCACATAAGAGGAGAGTGTTCGTCTTTCTCTCTTGGTCCAGTCTGCACTGCAATCCTGAAGGCACACAATTCAAATCCACCAGGTACTCCATGGGAAAAGGATGAGCAGTCCCCTGTGTGATTAACTGCTTCTGAAAACCCGCTGTGAGGGTCAACTATGGGTTGATTCCAACTCTGCAGTACACAGAAACAACAACCACCTTTGCATTGCTAGTGCAACTCAATATTGGCTAAGCCATTAAAGCTCTCTTTTATTAGCATTGTGAATGAAAACATAACAGTAAAGCTCAAGTTTGTTAGAAAATTTGGGTAATAAGTGAAACAGGGAGATCTACTGAGCTAGTGATATAATAACTGCACTGCAATTTCAAAGGCGTGCGATTCGAATCCACAAGTTAATCCATGGGAGAAGGATGGACAGTCTGAAAACCTGATGGAGGGTCAACTATGATTTGGTTCTGGCTCGATGGCACTGAACAACAACAATAAGTAAAATAAGGAGTACAGAGCCTTGGTCCTTCATGTGTTCTCTTGGCTCTGATTCAGCCTTTCATTTCTCACACGCGCTGTCTGCCCATGGCACAGCCTCAGACAATGCCTAACACTTACCATACAACCAGATGTTGTTGGATTGATTCTGACTCATGGCCACTCCATGCATAAGAGCACTTTATGGGTGTCTGTTGAATGAATGAGTATCCAAATTCATGTTGACCTTTGTCATAGAAAAGAATCCTCTCCCAGATAATTGTAGTTCTTTTGACTCTGCAGTTAATTCCTCACACCCTGCTAAGTGGGCCTTCTTCTGGGCCCACCTCTTCCTTCTTTAACTATATAAGCAGAGCTGATATTCATTGGGTATACACTGGAAGAGCTGGACTAATTTTTAAAATAATTTTACACTTACGTCCATGGAAACCCCCCCACTCAATCTCCCTAGTTCCTTTCCCAGGGCCCAAAGACAGCCTCATGATTCTAGCAACTAAAGGGTTACCGTCTGCATTCAGATCACCTAGGAACTGACTGTTTCAGCTCTGTGTCTGATGTTGGTGCTGACTGGTCAGTGCCTGCTCTATACAAGTGTTAAGTATTTTGAATGTTCACCTGGAATAGACAAGAGCCAGCGGATGTGTCCAGAGAATTGTGAGGGTCTAGATCAGAGAAGCTAAGTCTGTCATCGATGAGAGATCAAGAACTGAGGCTGAATCTAGACAATAGAAGCCTTTAGTGGGGTAGATAATAGAGTGGAATGGGTGACAAGGGACAAAAACATGAGATTGATCAGGCCCAGGACTTCTGTATGACCAGCCCAGGGAAATAGAAAACTCTTCCCACAGAAAATGAGCTAAATAGGATGTGAAGGTTGAAGAGATAGCTGGGGCTGGAGAAAGAGATCCATTTCCTACCAGTTCTGACATTGGTTTTGTTTGAGTCTGAGAACTTCACACCTCCTCTAACTCCCAGGGTCTTACCAAATCCACATCCTCTCACTCAAAGACCAAGTAAAGAATTTTAGCTCCTGAGAGCAAAATTCTAGACCAGACTCCACCCCTTTTGGCTTGTGGCCATGGCCTTGTGATGTTGGCTCAGAGCAGTGAGAGATGGCCTGTGATGAGCAAAGAGAAGACTAGAATGGTTGCATTTGGAAGGGGCTGGCCCACATCTTTCCCAGTTGCACAGCAATTCTTACCAGTGTAGGGTCGACTTTAAACCTAATCATTTCCGAATTATAAGACACTAGCGTAGACAGAGACATACACAGGAGAGTGTTGTCTTAAAACCAAGGAACCAGGGCCACCAACAAGGAAGAAACCAACCCAACTAAGATCTTCATTTAGAGTTTTGGTTTCTAGCGCTGTAAGAAAATACACTTCTGGTTTTCAAAGCTACCTACTGCGGTGTTTGTGTTATAGCATTACAAGGTACCTAAGACATAATACGCTATGCACAACACTAAGATTCACCTTCCTTTCCTCACATTGGTTCCTCACATCCTGCAAGTATTTGAATGTATCTTTCTTCTCAGCATCTTTCTGTCTTAACAATGTGTCTCTTCCCTTTTAGCTTGTCTACCTTTGTGAATAACTCTACATCACAAAAGTGTGTATATAATCTGTTGATGGACCAGATCTGTTGATAATCCAGATGGAGCTCAGAGGCAATTGTGGAAGTGAATAGGGAAAGCCAGGACCCTTCTCAAAGAGTTGTTGTCGTGTTGTTATGTACTGTTGAGTTGGAATCACTCATAGCTGACCTTCCAGTGAGTTTTGAGAGGCAATAAGTGACACAGGAAGGGACTGTCCATCTTTCGGCTGTGGAGCAGGTGGAGGATTCAAACTATGTGAGTTTGGGTTGGCAGCAAAGCTCCTTACCATTAGGCCACTGGAATAGAAAATGACAAAGGGGGATAAGAGCACTTACCTATGACTACTTTTCCTCCATTGTGTTTTATTTGTCTTTATTCATCTGTAACCTGATTTATTTAGACATTACAACCTGTTGTTGTTTTTGTTAGGTGCTGTCAAGTCAAATAAGAATCTTAGCAATGCTGTGAACAATAAACCTGAACGCTGTCATATGCTGTGCTGTCATCATCATCTCTGACGCACATGAGTCCATTGCTGTGGTCACTGTGACAATCTACCTTGGTGAGGGTCTTCCTCTCTTTAGCTGACCCTCCACCTTTCCAAGCTTGATGTCCCCCTCCGAGGAATAGCTTCTTCTAGCAACATGCCCAAAGTAGGAAAGATGTAGCTTTGTTATCCAAGCAGCATTCTGGTTGCACTCATTAATGAGTGTTGATGGGATAAGAAAAAAATGAAGGCTGACATCTGAACGTGGGAATGAAGGAAGCTGCCCACTCCAGGCAGAAATGCCAGCCAACTGACCAACATGGGGCATAACCTGGAGTGGACTGAGCCAGAGGGAGTGCCCAGAGAATTGTCAGGGTCTAGATCAGAGGTTGTGAGGATGACACAAGATAGGAGACGGTTCAGATCTGTTGTTCATAAGATCACTATGTATTGTATTCGGCTCAGCATCACATAACAACAACAAATCAGAGAAGCCAAATCTGTCATTAATGAGAGATCAAGGCTTGAAGCTAGATTTGGACAATAGAAGCCTACAATGGGTCAGATACTACAGTAGAAAGGGAGACAAGGGGCAAAGGCATGAGGTTGGGCAGGCCCAGGACTCCTCCTCCCACAGGAAATGAACTGCATACTGGTGAAGCTTGAAGACGTGGCTGGGGCTAGAGAAAGATTTACTGCTCACAGGCTCTGACAGTGGTTCAGTTGGAGTCTGAGAGTTATGCGCCTGTTCTAACTCTCAGAATCATAATAAATGTCCCGTGACTCAAAGACCTGATCAAGAACTTCAATCCCTGAGATCAAAATTCTAGACCAGGCTCCACCTCCTTTGACTTGTGGCCTTGGTCTTGCATTTGAGGCTGAGCGGAGAGAGAGATGGCCCGTGATGAGCAAGAACAGAACTAGAATGGTTGCGTTTGGAAGGTGCTGGCCTACCCACATCTCCCCGAATTGCAGAATCCGAAGTCCCCACATAAAAAGAACAGACTAGAGTTGACTTAAGCATCTGGATCTTTTCACATCAGATTGTAACTGCTCCCAGTCATTGTCACCCTTCAGTAGCTGACCAAGGCCACAGCTGGGGATGGGTGTGGGGGAGGGAGGAGCAGGTCTGTATTGATGAGAACAGGTTGAGGTGTTTCATGGTCAACTAGTAGTTATTATCTTGTAATTGGATAGTAGTGTCTAGCAATTAGTAGCAAAAATCTGTTATTTTCTTGTTTCTTGACATGATCAGATCAGGACCAGATTTTATGAACTGGTTTTGCTTTTCATTTGTAACAGTTTGAGATACATAAAAAAATGTGAGAGGCGTTGCATTTGGGGATGTAACGTGGTTGAGAGGGGGGCAGAAGTAAAAAAGACTTGCTTTTTACCATTTTGTATCATTTTAATTTTATGCGATCTGTCTGCATTCTCTACAAAGAAATAAATGTCAAGAAATTTTTTTTTAAAAAAAAACAAACTATATTGAATGGCTAAAATGGAGATGAACACGTGTCTACCATTCTCTTTTTCTACCAGGATTTTTTTTAAAAATTCCTTTTAAGAGAACTGGATATTTTTTTGTTCTCTAGGATGAGCTGAGATCCCTTAGAAAACAAGGGGCCATGTTGCTGACGTGCATCCAGGAAGCAGCAGCCAAAAACCTTACCAGCAAACTAAGTCCCAATGATCGTGAGAACGTCGCCACTATGGGCAGGTGAGTGAGAGCGCTGGGATCTGCTTTGCCAGGAGACTATCTGTAGAACCAGCTTAGCTCAGACAACCCAAAAGCAGCTTGGAAAAGCCCCTGTTCCGTATCGGTGGGGGTAAGAATGAATTCTGTTTGAGAATAAACACTAAGCATCCAGCTGTCACCTGTTTGTAAGCTCTTTTGATAAGAATTCTTTGCCTTCCTCATGTGAAATGCTCTGGTTCCAAGTTTCAAGGCAAATGGTAGAGTTTGTTGTTTCATTTACAATCAATAGCATTTCTGTGTGCTGCGCCTTAACACACCTGTAGTGTTAGGTGGAGACAAAACAAAAGACTGGCAAAGGTAAAGTCACCTGGGCCGCAGCAACAAAATCTGGTGGAAGTATCTTCCTGGCATTGAAGAAGTCCTGGTTAAAAAGTAAGAAATGGAGAAACTAGATGAACCTTAAGAGTCATGGGTGATACAGACTTTTGTAAGAAGGCGCTATGCCCCAGTGCACAACCCTGACTGAAAACTTAGCTGTTATCCACAGAGGCCTGCCTGAACTTCTGGGGCAATGAAAGTTACCCATGTGCTTTCTCATGCTTTCTTGACAGATTGTTGGTTCAGTTGGATGAAACAGAAAAAGCCTTTAGTCACTTTTGGTCTGAGCATCACCTGAAGCTTACCCAGTGCCTACAGCTGCAGCGCTTTGAGCAGAACTTTAGTGAGGTATTATTTCCTTGTTTGGTAAGAACTCTTCTGATGCAGTCACTTACCTTCTTTCCCCCATTCAGCCCCTTGGTCTAAGGCTTCCCTCTTCTTTCTAATCCAGCTCTTGCTTCTTCAAAAACTACTTTTCACTTTTCCAGTGGAATAAGTGTTCCAGAATCTCATTGTCCTATTGGGATTCACTGCCGTATTTCCTTTCCGTTTGACCCTCTGTTGAATGCAGTATACTATTCCGTTGCCATATGTCTCTGTACCCCCACCTTAATCTGCGAGCTAAAGAACAGGTGGGGTTTTTTAAAAATGCACTGATAGAAGCACACAAGTCCTGAATCCTTTCAAGATGTTGAGTTTCCTGAGATCCTAGCATGCCTGTCCTTCCAGATTCTCATCAGTTGATCTGTGCTGCTGTTTTATAGGTTAAAACGGCCCTGGATAACTTATTGGAAGAGCAAGCTGAGTTTACAGACATTGGAGACAGTGTGATACGCGTGGAACAACTTCTTAAGGAACACAAAAAACTGGAACAAAAGGGTCAGGTACAGTGTGAGGGGATTTTAATTTTGTTTTGTTGATATTGTTGAGTTCTGAGGAAGAGATTGTGGACAGTGACAAGTCATGGCCACTCAGATCTTTTGGAAGATTGCTAATGGAAATACCAAAAAAAACACAACATGCTATTGAGTTGATTCCAACTCACAGTGACCATATAGGACAGTGTAGAACAGAACTACCCCACAGCGTTCCCAAGGTGGACATCTTTACAGAACCAGAATTACCATGTTTTTCTTTCTTGGAACAGCTGGTGAGTTCAGACTGCCAACTTTTAGATGAAAAGCTGATCATTTAACCACTGCATTACCAACACTTCATTAAAGGACTCAGAAATGCCAAATTCTACCCATTTGAGCACCTTTTACTCCCACCTCATGCCTTCAAGGAGCTAGATAACGCCCATACAGAGCCATGATGAATACTGTCACCAGCGTGGAATTATATGCTCAGCATACAGATTGAATAGCTATGGAGAAAGAAGACTCGAAGCCTTTGAATTGTGGTGTTGGAGAAGAGAACTGAGGTAGGAAGGGAGAATCGATCCATGTTTGTTCTGTTTCTATACATAAGTGAGAAAGTCTAGGCCATAGCCTTCACAATTGTTTGCTATGTGTCAGAGAGCTGGGCAGTGACTAGGAATGATAGAAGGAGAATTGATGCCTTTGAGCTGTGGTGCTGGAGAAGAGTATTGAATATACCATGGACTGCTAGGAGAACAGGTTTGTCCTGGAGAGGGTGAAGCCAGGCTGCTCCTTGGAGGCAAGGATTCCAAGGGTCTCTCTGACTACTCTGGGCATGTTGCAAGAGGGGACTGGTCCTTGGAGAGGGATATCATGCTTGGGAGGGTGAAGGGACAGTGCAAAAGAGGAAGCCCCTGGAGGAGATGGATTGACTCAGTGACTGGGGCAATGAGGGTTGATGTGTCAGAGTCAATAAAATCGACACAGGATAGAGTAGATTTCAGGGCTATTGTATATAGGGTTACTATGAGTCCAGAGTGACTCGACCGCACATAACAACAACAACAACAACATGTCCTAAGAGTTGTAAATGTCAAAACTATAAGGGAGTAATGTGCTTCACAATTTTGATGCCAGAATGAATCAGTTTGCCAGTTCTGCACACAGATCAGGCAGGACTTAGAAGTGATTCTATTTTAAGTCCTTACCAATTTGACCTATTACACATTTGAGTCATCTTGTTCCAAAGAAGTTTCCCTGTGCTACTCTTAGTTAGATTCCCTTTATTTTTATCATTTGAAGATGGAATCCTTTGTGGTTAACACTTCACAAAGAACGGCACTCTCAGGTGATAGTTTCACAGCGCTAGAAATTTCTGTCTCAGCCATGGCCCTCTGGCAGCGACATTTGTGTCACATGATAGAAATGCACACTTTCAACGCCCTCCTCCGCCTCTGCATTTTAGTAAGAGCCCTTGATAGAGAGACCAGGTGGCACAAGCAGTTCTTCATGGGCTGCTAATGTAAGGTTGGTAGTTTGGAACCACGCAACCATTCTGCCCAAGAAAAGCCTGGAATTTTTCTTCTTCTTCTTGTTGGGTTTTTTTGTTTGTTTGTTTTTACAGAATTGCTACTGTAAACTTCCCCCCCCTAATTTCTTCTGTTAAAAAGTTACAGTTAACAAAATCTTTTGGAGCCAGGCTTAAGGAACGAGCTGGTGCTCTCTACTGACCACTCTGTTCAGAATCAACAATAGAAGTGGGGGGAATTGTAGAACAAACTCTGAGTTATTAGGAAGGACCCCAGACTTACTGGTCTGCTAGAGACTCGTGGAACCCTAAGACCTTTAGACACACTTCACACCTGGAGTTGAACCCCCTTTGGGGATCACCTTTCAGCCAAACGACAGACAGGCCTCTAAAGTGAGCAGTAACACCTGTAAGGAGCGTACTGTTCAGAGCAATCAGCCACATGAGACCTGAGGGCAGCATTTGCCCAAAACCAAAGTTCAATGAACCAGAAAGAACAGGGAAGATGGACAGGGTGGAAACAGGAACCCAGGGAGGAAAGGAGGAAGAAGGAAGGTGTGTTACATTGGAGGGAGTACAACCAATGTCATGAGGCAGCATGTGTACAACTTGTTGAATGTAAAACTTATTCTGTTAACTTTCACCGCACACACATGCATGCACACACACACACCGCACACCCACACACACTTGTATGGAGCAGTCCTACTCTGTAACACTCGAGGTCGTCATAAGTAGGTACCACCTTGATGGCATCTGTAGTAACAGCGGTCACCTGGTTGGCATTGCGGTGAGCAGCACACCCTCTGAAAGGACGCAGAGCAGATGTAAACCGAAGTCACAGCAACTCCAGGAGCTTCTCGTGGTGGCTTCTGAGCTTGAGGCACATCTATACCTGCAGGTCCCAGGAGCCCACCTGCGCACCCAGACGTGCCCTCAGGAATCCCACCTTCCCTTGAGCACTTTTTTCTGCTCTCTGTGACAAGGCCCACTGGTCACTAAGTGCTTGTGTGCTGAAGGCTCATGAGTCCTCAGACACATTTATCAAGAGAACATGGTTCAAACCCACCAGCTACTCTGTGGGATAAGGACGGACAGTCTCCTTGCGTTCAATTAACTGTCTCTGCAAACCCACATGAGGGTCAGCTATGGGCTGGTCCCGACTTGATGGTATGCAACAACAACAACCAAATAAGTAATTATATCAGATATGGCAGGGAGTGTGGAGAAGACAAAGGGATTTAGTAGAAAGTGACGGAAAGTCCTCCTTCAGCTGTTGTGGTCAGTGAAGGCCTCTGTGAGGTCTGGATAGCCATGCAGAGATTTGAGGAATAGCATGCGGGGTGGAGGGAGCTGCAAGTCAAAGGCCTTGCAGTGAGAATGAGGTTAGCTGACTCAAGGAATGTGGCTGGAACGAGCTAAGAAGAGATAGATGGGGCAGATGAGCAGGGGCCAGAATATATCGAGCCCTTGGGAGTCTCTGATGAATTATTTTACTTTCATTCTGAGTTTGCACAGACAGCTATTTGAGGGTGTTCTGACCTGTGTTTTGAAAATCACTGATGGATCTGCATGACTGAGTCCACATTCTCTTTCTGCCCCCATCCATGGACTTCTGATCCTTGCTCCATACTTTAAAGACTGCTGACAGGTACTCGGGCGAAACTCATGGTCACAGGACTTCACTGTGTGGGCCATGGCTGCCAGCTAGCTCATGTGTTTGACTCCTGCTCAGAGTTTGCTTGTTCATCCTGGACATTTACACTGTAAGGAAACTTAGAAGAATCCCCTGGTAGTGATCCTGTATAATTGTGGACTCTGACTCAGTGTATCTGGAATGGACTTGAGAATGCTCAGCTTTGATTTAACCATTATAAGCTGGCTGGGATCCCCACTGTGCACCTGTGATCCACCTTTGATGGACAGAGTTCTTGAGGCAGCTGGGCTAACCCCCTGCAGATGACCCTTGGCATTTAACTCATTGTGTGTCTTGCTTCCCTTGCTTTTTTCTGTTTTGTAAATGATGCAGACGATCTATCCCTTTACCCTTGACCAAGCTAAACAAAGCCAGCCTACCATATCTTGTACTTTCTTCACCATAACTTGCTTCAGATTCCCAAGAGGCACCATTTCTTTGGATAATAAAGGCTTGACAAGTCTTTTCATTTGTCCTATAAAGTGTTAAAGAGAAAAGGTAGTTTGTGACTAGAATCCATCAAAACCCTGCTTGGTATTTGTCCTTTACTGAAGGGTCACCTGCCCTCCTGGCATAACCACACATTGGTTTCTGGGCTTGTGCCAACTTCCTTCTTCTATACAGTGATATCATGCCAATGGTACCTCTGGGCACACACACTTCCTGGATGCCAGCCACATGCTAATTCAGACTACTGTCTGTTCTCTTCTTCTGCTTTGAGGGTTTAGCAAAGTTTTTAATTCTGAGGAACAGTGGCTCCAGCCACTCTGTTATATCTATAGGGGCACCATTTGCTGCCTGGCGTTTTACTGAGAGGTATCTTGGGACACAAAAACTGCACATAGGGAATCCACGTAATTTAAGCTTTAACCTCTCCCCGTGTCCAAGAAGGCTTGGAATCCGGGTCATTACCATTCTAGTACAATATAGCTTGGGGCATGGCTTATTTGAAAATGGAAATTTTTAGGCCTGCACAGAGAGCTTGCATGTGTTCATCACTCGTGGTCAGCAACCACTAACTTCCTGCCCCTTCTCATCTCATCTGGTCTACTTCCTTATATTTACATTCCATGCCTATTTGTTCTGGGCTCGCTAGTATAGTACTATCACTCTCACTCCCACCTCTTTCTTCCCTAGTTGATATTGTCATAGTTCATGTGTCTTGGCAGTAGAGACCTTTATAGTAGATGAGAAACTAAGCTGTAATTACAGTGAGGATTTGTGTGTCACATGTTGCAGCTTGACTATCCAGCCTTCTAGAATTTTAAGATGCCGGCAAGGATTGTGTCAGAGCACCAGATTTTGATTGTTTCTCTAGCATTATTTTGATTTTGCTTTGGAGGTTTTGTTGACTAAGTTACCATTAAATTTTTTTTTTTTTTACTTCAGAGGGTTACTTTGAGCAGATGCTATATAGACGAATGTTGTGAGGTTTTACAGTAAAGTTCCCTCCCACTAGTTTATTTACAAAATTCTAACACAGATTTAAACAAACTCTTTCAATTTCCCTTGCCCCCTCCCGTCAAATTATATAACCCAATGATTAATCCCCTCTTCCCCCTGCACATCCACATCCCTCTGCTTCCAGCCTCTCCCACCCCTCCTGGATCCTTATACTCATTCTGCAATAACGGTCTTATACAATATTTATCCTTATGAGACTGAGTTAGGTCACTCAGCAGAATGCTCTCCAGTCCCTGCCAAGTTAGGTAATAATTTACAAAGTTATTGCTCCTGTGTGCTGCATAGTATTCCAGTATTACATGGTATTATAGTAAAGTTCTTTAGAGCCGTCAGGAG